AAAAACACCCTATCGGCACTTTTATTTCATTCATCAAATTGCTTATGTTGGTGATAAAAATATGTTTGATGAATTTAATCAACAGTTTCATTTTGACCTTAATGTATTGACAAATGACAGGAAATCCGTTTTGGATATTGCGCGTGAACAAGGGCATGATTATTTTTGGACACATGTAAATAGTTTGATCAACAATGATAATCAACAGTCAAAATTTTGTTCACCAAAAGATCAAACACAAGCACATAATCAAGCATCCGTTTTGGTAAATAAGTCACAGAGCAGTGTTGAAATGATGAAAAGTCTCCAGTTACCCGAAAATGAAGAGTTGATTAGATTATTAACTTGTCCGTTATCCGGTAAACTACTAGAAGTTCCAGGTAAAGTTTGTTTTTCGTCTTTCTTCCGAATTGAAATTATATTGCTATTATAGTTATGGCTGCTGATGGTTACACATACGAAAAAGAGAAGATTCTTGATTGGTTTAAAACGTCGAATAAATCACCCGTAACAAAGGAAGTCTTGAAAAATAAAAAATTAAAATTAAATATAACTATAGAAAATATTATAAAAGCAGTTGGCTCAAAGAAAAAGTAAAGCTTTAACTTTTAAATTATTGATCAGAGGTCAGAATTTTGGGGACATGACACGGTTTCATGTGCTCTATCGAATAAACGTTGAATGAAACTAACATTTTCCGTTAAGTGAAAAAATGAATTTTAATTTTAACGCACTCTCATTCAGGATTAAATGCTCTTTCAAATGAGATACGTCGCGATTTTTGCGGCAAACCTTCAAGTAAATGTGGGGCAGTTCCGAACGAATTACCCATCATAGAGTAACTTGGGGTAATTCGGGACAGCTTCTCTAATTTTCACAGTATTTTGAGCGTACCTGAAGCATTTTTACTCGGTAAAAAACGACACTTCGCAGGTAGATAGACGGAACATTTCTCTATCTATTAATGTAAAAATCTTGTTAAAATTCAATAAGACTAATTAGTATTCATCAATTTCCAAAGAGCTCCTATCAAATGTCCCAAATTACCCCATTTGGGGTAATTCGGGACAGTCAGTGTGTCTCGCTGGGGTAATTCGGGACAGTCCAGCAAAAATGGCTGGAAGAAAGTAAAACAACTTTTTTTCAATGGCAAAGGTTTACCTTTCTAATTAAAAATTATTCCGTCTTGTAGAGAATTTTGAGCTCTATCTACTTTGTAAATTGCTAGTCCTTTGGACATATCCTTGATTAATCAATAAAAAATTACAAAAATGAACGAACATAGTCGTTTTTTTCAGTTTTCTTGTATGGGGTAATTATGGACACTCAGCTATTTTGCATGGGGTAATTCGGGACAGTACGTGCAAATCGCACGGGATAGACAGAAAACAACTTCTGCTGCCTTTTAGAAACAGATTTTGATACCATACTGAACGGTACAATTGTTCAGCACCATGAGCTCTATCATATATGTAAAAACCGGATAGAAAAAGTGTATTTTCATCGTCTCCTGTTCAAATATGATATCTGATAGAAATTTCACCATCAGATCGAACCCTAATCTTCTTTTGATGGTTCCGCAACTTAAACAAGTTTTTCGAAGTACTTTGTAGTTGGTAGATTATCTGGAAAACCAGAAATTTCAAAGACCTATATCTCGAAACCGGAGATAAGGTACTGGGATCTCACGTGAGTCATATGTTTCAAAACGTGTAGAGTTCGAACATATGCAACGGGATCAACAAAAACGGGGAAACGTAGTTTAAAATAGCTTGGGGGACCATCAAAAGAAGATTAGGGTTCGATCTGATGGTGAAAAACGCATTTCAATACGAAGGATTTTCATGATTTTCACCATCTTAGAACAAGTGCAGTAGAGAAATGTATTGAAATGCTTAAATGAGCCATTTTATTCCTTGTTGTCTCTAGTCTATATCCTAAAGCGTTCAGGTTTGTCGCGTTTGTCATTTTTGAGATAATTAGGTATGAGTTGCGTCTTGGAATCTATAAAATCTCCAAATGTCAGACCTCTCAAAAACCCCATGTGAATGTTTTAAAATTTTTTCAATGACGCATTCTCACTCAGAATTAAACGCTCTTTCAAATGAGACACGTCGCGATTTTTGCGGCAAACCTTCAAGTAAATGTGGGATAGTAGTGAAAGAATTACCCTGATATATAAATATAATATACAAATACATATCTGACGAAATATATTTATTTATTTAGAAGTGGTATTTTGTTTAACTGCAAATTTGTAGCTGAAAGAAAATGGTCCGAAATATTTTTTTTATTTGAAAATAACGTAAACGTTTTAATATAATTGAGAATAGTTAGTTTTTTAAAAAACATAAAAAACGAGATAGTCGTTAAAGGCTAACGTATATGATCCATACACTTTTAAATCTGGACCGACCGATGACAAGTGAAAATTCGCTGTTAAGCCTATTGATCTAACGGCCAAAGGATGCCGCTGCTACAGCCTAGACATTTTTTTCCGGCAGTTTTTCTTTGTCTTACATACATTCAAGGGGGAAAAGGCGGATCCGGGATCCCCGTAGATCTGCCAAGATCCCCACAGATCCGTCTCAATATTCTTCCGCTAAAGCAGCACAATCCTGTTCCCGAAACAGAACAGTCTGAGTCGCGAAACAGGACAATCGTGTTCCCAAAACAGAACGGTCCGGTTCTTTTATTGGGAGAATTTCCTGGATAACAGGACAATTGTGTTCTGTTCTGTGAATCCTTTTCCCACAGACAGAACATTTTTGTTTTGCTTGTGGGAACAGAGATTTCTGGGACTGTTCAATTCAATAAAATTATATTCGCATGGATCCGCGTAGATCCCAGATCCGCCTTTTCCCCCTTGCATACATTGCAAAAGACTTGTAATCAATAATTATCCCTTCAAAATAAAATTTGAGCTTGGTTTCGTCTAAATGCACTTAGACTGTATTAGGGACTTGAATGAATGCAGTATGTGTGCACTTATTCAAATCACTAATACAGCCTAAGTGCATTTAGACGAAACCAAGCTCAAATTTTATTTTGAAGGGATAATTATTGATTACAAGTCTTTTGCAATGTATGTAAGACAAAGAAAAACTGCCGGAAAAAAATGTCTAAGGCTGTAGCAGCGGCATCCTTTGGCCGTTAGATCAATAGGCTTACAGCGAATTTTCACTTGTCACTGGTCGGTCCAGATTTAATTCGCAACAGAAAGTGTATGGATCATATATGCTGTGTTTGAGTTTTGCAAAAAAGGAAGAAATTGATAAGTCGCGTGCCGTTTTGTTCTATTTTTTTCTGTTTTGTTATATGTCGCATCGTTTTCCCCTTTTATCGTTTTGAAAAAAAGACATTTTAGGTAGTAAACCAGACGACGTGCCTGGCACTTTATTTCGAATTTTGTGTTGAAAAAGCGTTTAGAAAGCGTCAAGTAATAGACACATGCCTACCATATAAATTATATCCAGAATACAGACGACATATCTACATATAATCGGTTCTAATAACTCCACAAATTCCACTCAACGTTTAAGCAAGAGGTCAGGGTTACTCCAGTAAAAGCATTCAATTTTAAGTTCTGATTTGAAAACTGGTTTGCCCGCTTATGTTTCGAAATTTACAGTCCAAAGTATTCCTAGAGGGTTGATGACCCAAACAATGACAAAACAAAATATCCGCCCAGAATCAGTGTGAAGCTACCACGGCTGTCAATCAATATCAATCAATCAATTTTATTTTAAGTCAGTGATGTTAAATGACAAAAAGTTTCCTAATAACTTTAACTACGTCACACCATGAAAATTAAGTTTGAAGAAAGAAAAGTAAACAATAGCAAAACAAAACAAGGAACATACTATAATTGTGCAGTGTACTCCACAGGATATTGAGTCTTGATGTTATTGAGATATTGCGAAAACATACATTGCGTATGTTTTTTTCCATGCTTGTCTCTAGGCACATAGTAAGAAGGCATCGAGTCAAACTGAACGATTGTCTTTTTTCGTAAAGTTACGTGCAAATACAAGTTCTGTGGGAAATAGTACAAAATAATAGTTCAGCCATTGGGCTCTAAATAGATGTTTACTTGAATAAAATTGTGTTATGAGTGTGTTGGTTATTAATGTGTTAAGGGCCAAAACTCCGTCCACCAGAATAGTACACTGTAAAAGATAAAGTGTCTGCTTTACACATTAGGATCAATAGTACAGTCTGGTCTGGTTCTCTAAGTCTGTCTGGATATCTCTCAGATCCATCAACCCGTTGCTCTAATCGATTCGATGGCAATTTTTTTTCGGCTGTTTTTTGCTTATCTATTTTGGTTAGGAGTCACCGCATGTATGCTTTCGAGAACGATGATCACGATTCGGAAATCGTATTTTCGTTTGATGTATGTAAATTGCAAAATAGTATAATAGTAGAATAGCAGAATAGGAGTATAGTAGAATAGCATTTATGTGGGAATATCAATATAGTAGGATATTTTTGAAACACATTATTGCGCTGTACTGTGATCAGTGTGTATTGTATCTGTTGCTGCATCGCAGCGACCTTATAGTTTTTATGTTATGATTGGCTTTTAGGAAACAAATGGCAACATGATGGGTTTTTGTACTGTGTAACTTATAAATTCGTTCTTTTCTGTACAGTATACTTCTAGGCATGCACTAACTTGAAGGTACTGCTTGTTTCATATCTGCTTTTAAACTCTTAGACATGATGTCATTTGCCGAATATAACGTTCATGACAACGAATCTGGACTTGAGGATGGGGCTAAAGCAGCCAGAGTTATATAAAAAAACTTGCAAATGGCAGCTAGCACGTGTACATGTTCTCTACATCCACTAAGTATCAGACATAGAGCAGCTCGCCATACTACGGGGATGCAAAGTATGTTTTCCAGTTGGTATAGCGTGAAACATCAGACTCATTTAAAAGTCGTCTTACATAAGATCTGATGATTTTTTATCCAATTTTGCTACGAATACCTCTACTCCATTTTTTCTAAAGTATAATTAGTGCAGCACTTGTCAAGCAGTTTTAGAGTTAATGCGTGCCAAGCAGTTGGAAGAACTGCCGATACTTGCATATATTTCGCGCGTATTTACCAGGTTACCTGCCAAATACTTAATGAAGTACTTATCTAGTGCTTATACTTGTTAACTTACTTGCTACGTATCTTTCTTACTTGCAAAAACTGCAGGTACTCTGGACATTACTTATCCAAGTATTTTTCTAAGTACTTGTTCTCAAGTACATTGACTAGGGCATTAACCAACATTCTTATGAAATCTTGTCAGGTTTCATATGCTCTTGTAAGGTCTTGTGGTGTCTTGTAATATGAATTACAAGATCCTATTTCAAGATTCTTCACCCTGAAAAGCTACATATTTCTTATATGTCAAATTAAAGCTTATTTTAATCGGACCTCAATGGCATAGCCTTTGAGGCTATGCCATTTTTGTGATAAAAAAAGTAAAAACTCTTTTCAAAAGATAGGATTTTTAAAAAGGCGAAAAATCCGTTCAGTGTTTCAAAATTTGCATTAGCAATGAAAAAAATTTCAGAAATTCCAAAAATTCTAGCTTTT